TCTCTCTCTCTCTCTCTCTCTCTCTCTCTCTCTCTCTCTCTCTCTCTCTCTCTCTCTCTCTCTGTGTGTACTACGATCAGTACTACTGCTCGTCTTACGCACTACTGAGGATGCAGATGACGGTAATCGATCGGTTAAACTTTATCACAGCGAAGGACGCGGACACGAGAGAGACGAGTAGAGGAAAATAGGGGAAAGAGAGCAAGGTAGAAGGGAAGAGAGGTGGAAATGGGACCACAGCAGATCACGATCTAACGGTAAAGTACCAAGAGAATGATTGATGGACGGAATAGACAAGTGGGTTGATAGATTTGATTGATTGATTGCTGACGTTGACTGATTAGCTTGTGACTAATTAGCGACGAACACGATTAAGTTGATTGGCGTCGTGGAACCAGGAGCACGACAAGACGTGCCAGCTGGCTGCAGCTCTGATACGGAAACTCCTGCTGCTGATGTGGAAGCGTTGCTGATGTGGAAGCGTGGGAGTAATCGTATGCAGAACACTCGAGTAATTGATTCTTAAAAAGAGCGGGAGGATCAACGGCGGCAGTCATCAATGCGCCAACCGAGTACATACGAGTGTATACCTATCTATATATATGAAACGCGACGAATAGACGCGGCGCCTCGATGATGGATGATGATTATAGACTGAGTGAAGCAGCACGGTACTTACTGCCGGCACGGAGAGCGACCGCAAATGATGTTAAGGATCGAGAGAGCGAGAGAGCGAGAGTGGTGATAAGAAAAGGACCGAAGTACGTATACTTACTGCCTGGTCAAACTTGTTGAGCAGCGCGGATTGAGGTGTAGGAGAGAGAGAAACGGGCACGAGTAGGCGGACGAGAGGGCGGCAAGGAGGGGAGGCGCGGGGAACGTCACCGCGCTGATTGGCGGCAAGGAGGGGAGGGGAGGTGCTGTGATCAAACCTGAGCAAAGCGTCTCGACGCTTAGCAGTCCACGTGGACACAGAGGGACGGAATGAACAGTCTACGTGGCCTCTCTCTGTGTGTGTGTGTGTGTGTGTGTGTGTGTGTGCGTGTGCTCCGTCTGCAGTGCGCAACCTCTTCCCCCCGCAGACCGTCGCTGGCGGAGAGAACCGACCCAAAAGTCGCTCGTGCGCGCGACTTCGATCATCCAAGAGTGTACGACCGTGCCACACGGCGCCGCCGACCAGTCGCGTCCGTACGACCGACCCAGTTTCGCGGCTGATGACCACAGCGGGGCTGAGGTGAGCGGAGCGGACCACAAACGGGACCCTGCGCGGCTGACTAGAGTGCCAGTGTGAGCATTTCGTATTCCTCCCCGCTTTCTTGGGGACATCAGTCAGAGCGCCGCGAGAGGTGCGGGAAGGGGGGAACGTCCGAGACCGCACAACCAGATAAGAAATCGGAGAGCGAGTTGAAGGGGGGGGGGCGGGGGACAGGGGTACCGCCATCCGGGGGGACCACGGGGTTGTTTTCGTGCGTGCGTGTCTTTGGGTAGCTGCGGGGCAAAGGGAGGGGGGGCAGCGGCATCGCCGAGGGCGAAGCAGAGCGGGAGCAGAGCGGAAGCGCACGCTGAGTGAGGCGAAAAGTAGGTGTGTGTTGTAAAAAAA